AAACGCCGCGCTGTTCGCGCCCGAACCAAAACCACCGCCGCCCCCGTGTCTAACGCCTCCGACACGACCACTGCCTTTCGCACCGTTGTCGCCGGCGCCGCCTCCTTCCCAGGCGGGAGGGGAGAACCCCCCCCCCCTGTCTGCCGCCGACGCCGCCGACGCCGGTACCACCCGGGTGGAGTCGGCCCAGCCCACCGCCTTCTGCTTCTGCGCCGGGAGGACCAGCCGCGCGAGCGGGGGGGGGGGCTCGCCCTTTCCCTCGTCACAGACACGCCGGTGCCACGCCCAGTCGCTCCGCTGGTGGTCTCGGTTGCAGTAAAACGCCGCTCGGCACCGCCCGCACCGGAACAACGATATCTGGACGGAGGGAGTAAACGCAAGATGTACTGTGAGGAAGGGTAGGGGGGGTAAGCATACTGGCACCACCAACCACGTTGTCCCCGCCCGGTGAAGGGGACGGGCAGCCTACGGGTTTATCTCTCACCGCAGCTGCGGAGTGTCCATATCGCAGTATCGAAGCTTGGGCGCCGTACGAAACGACGGAAACGCTGAGGCTATCTCCAGCATACATCGGGTGCGCGCAGTCCCGCGGGGGGTTCCAATATCGTACATTGAACACTTTGCTCCAGAAATTACAAGGGCGAGGACTGAAAAAAAAAGACAATAACCACGCTGCTGCCAATGGATGTCATACGGCATACGCCCGGACGCCGATAGGCCGAAACAGCGGCGGCGAGCGTCACATCGACTCTCGCTGAAATACCCCTTAAACACAGCAGCACCCGCCGGTATGTTCTACATACATACCCGGCCACAGCCCCTGAAGTTGCACCTTCCGGCGAGAGGCTGGAGAGGAAGTGGCAGCTGCCTCTTGCTGCTCGCCCACGGGTCGCCGCCGCTCCCTCGGGGGGGGGGCTCGGTGCTTGCCGCGACGGGTTCTTCTGCCGCTGCTGCTGCTTCGCTGCTTGCCGCCTCTCCGGAGACGATGGTCACGGGTGTCGTCGTCCTTGTGGGTACCGCAACTGCTGCTGCTGCCCCCCAGTCGCTTTCCTTGGCAGTGCTGGCGACCATAGGGATGGACGTCGTTCCTTCTCCTGCTGCTGTTGCTGCTGCTCCTCCTCCTCCTCCTCCTCCTCCTGATGCGGCCGTTGACGTTGCTTCTTCTCCTTCTGCTGCTGCTGCTGCTGCTGCTGCTGCTGCTGCTGCTGCTGCTGCTGCTGCTGCTGCTGCTGCTGCTGCTGCTGCTCCTGCTCCTGCTCCTGCTCCTGCTCCTGCTGCTGCTGCTGCTGCTGCTGCTGCTACTGCTGCTTCCATCGCCGCCGTCACAAAGGTCGCTGCCGCTTCTTCCGTGTTCTTCCTTTCGTCTGCTCTGCAAGACGTTTCTTCTTCTTCTTCCTCTTCCTCCCTCGTCCGCAGCAGCAAAGACGTCGATACTGCTGTCGCGCTCCCGGTCGAGCCTGACGACGAGCACCACGTGTTCGCCCGCTTAAGCTGCTGAGCAGCAGCAGCAGTAACACCGGAAACGGCGGCTCCGATTACGCCGCCTCGCTCCTCCTCCGCCCCGGTGGCCTCCCACCACCGTGGGACGCGATCCACAGCGCCGTCGAAACTAAGTCTCCGACGACGGATACGGAGACTGTCGCTCCCCCTCTCCTTACCGCCGCCGCCACCGCCGGTGCGTGGGCCGTCGCTTACGGCAGGCATCTCGTCTGGGGGTGTGGTGTCGATGGTCGCGGTGTCCTGGCTCTGCGGTGTGGGATAATTGCTGGTGGTGCTCCTTGCTGCCGTTGTTAGTGCTGCGTCTTGGCAATGGGGTGCTGTCCTGGCCGGCGAGGAGCGCGAAAGGTTGTAAGAAGCGACACGATCCTTCACTAGCTGCAAGAGGCCCAGCAGGTAAAAACACGGGAATGCTTGGCAAATTTTGAATGTACGGGGGCAGAGGTTTTGGAGTTTGATTACGCGGGCGAAGCCCGCTAAATACTACATGTGTGAAAACCCACCTACCTGCCGCACGCTTCCAAAATGTTGCACCTCTGACTGAATCAACAAAGGAAAGGAGATACCAGAGCAGAGGTGTCGTCACCGCGGCAGCAAAGAAATCACCGTGCAGCGTTCATTCCAAAGAACCACAGATAAATGGAGTCAAGAGAGCGAAAAACTAGACATTAACGGATAGATGCAGAGATGCCAGAGCATCATCATCATCACGGTGCTTGAAGTGATCTGGTGAGAGGACGGGCGTGCAGACGGCATAAAAGCATGCACGGACCCCTGGGTGTGGGTGCTAGCTACTGCTGCTGTAGCTCGACATGAAAAAAAATATGCGCGTGTGCGTGTGTGTATGACCTCCCTCCTCGCTGTTTCTAAGCTCGTCCTCTTGGTGCTCTGCTGCTGGGTGCTCGTCATCGACATGCAGTGTGGGTTGACGTTGCGAAACTCTTTAACACACAGAGACCAGAGTGGTCTCTGCTGGATCTTCCTGCTGTGGACTACAGACAGAGACCAGAGTGGTCTCTGCTGGATCTTCCTGCTGTGGACTACAGACAGAGACCAGAGTGGTCTTTGCTGGTTCCATCCTGCTGTGAACGTGTGGTACGCCAGTTGCAGCTCCCAGGCTCCCGGCTGACGTGTGTTGGTCCGTGAATTGGAGACTGGTTGGTTCGAAAGCGGTGCCCAGCAGAAAGCGGCGAAATTGCCAAAATTACTCGCAAAATAGACAAGACGCCAAGTAGGCGCCAAGTTGAATATAGACGGCTGATTGGCGGACGCCAAGTTAAAACAGTCCCGGTGGCTTTTTTTGCTGCCAAATGTTTTTCGCCCTGTCCAGCAGTAGGGTCAACGTTCGTAGGGCTGCACCAACAGCGATCGTTGGATCGTTGGCTACAACATAAAATTCGGCAACGGAGGCGGCAGTCTACATACATATAGGCTGCACAACCATATGTAGCGACCGTTGGCTATGTTCAGAACACTGATGAAGGCGGCGGGTGTAGGCTTGACAACCATGTGTAGCAATCGTGGGCTATTTCACAGCAGCAAATTGAGGTAGAAGGGGGGTTTATGTTGTGATCAACTATAAATAATAGCTGGTCCGCTCGATCCACCAAATAGAGCAGGACGAACGTCGAGCGGCAAATAGTAAAGGGCGCTTTCGGGGTGTAATAGGGATTGTCATCTGCCCCTCCCCCTGGTGTCCTTGGGGACTGAAGCTGACAAAGATACCGCGGCTGCCTGACTGGCGCGCTAAATGCACCCTCCTGCCTCTCTTGTTCTCTCCGCAGGCATATGCCTCTCTGCACGACGTTGTGGTTGAAGAGGCGCTACGTAAGTTGGGAAGGAGTGTAAAGATATCCGATGCTTTCATGCGATCCAATGAATCGATCGCATCAACCGCGCCGATACACGTGAGGAACACACGCTGCCATCCTCGTAGTCTGTCAGCAGGGCTCGATGGGGAAGCTCGGCAAAAATGAACAGCATGGTTTTGAAGCGCGACGTGCGCCCCCGTGCGAGGCAGCAGGAGCAGCAGCAACTGCAGCAGCAACCGATTTGGTTTGCGAGCAGCAGACTGTGCACCTTGTCACGAGAGGTCGGAAGACAAGGGTTCACGCACCCAACATCCGAACCACTGCTGTTTGCAAACCTGGACAACGGCCACCAATCGCACTGAGTACTTCCTGATAGTCTCACCAGTCCTTGGATATCGTTTCGCATAGCAGCACCCGGCCAACACAGCAGCCCAGCAGCAGCACCAGAAGCAGCAGCAACCTCTCTTAGGGACACAGCAGTTTCCCAGGCGTGTACAGATGGTAAACGCATACACCGCTTAATCTCAGCTCACCCACCTGTTCGCCCGTGGTCAATATTCCCTCAAGCTGTGGTCGATCGGAGCAACAGGTGTCCCTGGGACTTGTGCTCATCATGTCTTGCTGAGCGGCAGCGTTCATCGCATCGTTGCCTGGGGGGCTCGCGGATCCGAATAATGGACGTATGCATACTTCCACAAACAAACACAGGGTCTTTTCAACCACGTGGAGACCACGTGCGAGACCATGAACAGCGTATCCAAACATCCAAACTGTCCAAACCCAGAACCGATCTACAGTAATAATTGCCCGTTCTTGACTTCTCCTTGCGCAAGCGGTCTCTGGATTGGGGAAGGTAAGGCACAATCAAAGGTGCTGCAGATTCTTCCTGGCGTGGAATGGGATAGATATGTAGAGACTATATATACATACCGGTACTACCAGTATACTGCAGTGAGCGGCAGTCCTGCAGTGTGGTGAAGTTGTTTACCGTACATCGCGACATCTACATTTTGATAGCCAGCGTGTGCCTGGACCCGTCTACCTCACTATGTACGTATAACTTTGGAGATATCATGTGATCGAGCCAACTTGTTCCTGCCGACCAATTCAACCCACAGGATAAGTTGAGTCTCAAAAACTGCCCATGGAGGCTCCCGAGAACGCGTCAGACAGCAAGGAAACCTCCCTACACCGCTGAATTCAGAACTTTTTCCCGACACGCCCCACTCCACCGGTAGCCATACAAGAAAAAAGAGGGCGACGACCTCTACAGAAATACCCGGCATCTTCGGGAGGCGTGTCAAAACACCGTCGATGCCTTGGTCGTAGGGTCTGGAGCACTTTCCCGATGGGCCGTAAATACCACCGTAAAAACAAGTGGAAAGGAGATAACGCGACCGAGACAGGTCTACCCCATCGGCGACGGTGGGGCAGCGGCTATGGTCGCGGCACACCAGCGGACGGCGTAGACGATCCGGAGCTAGACATCAGGCCCGATATTGGCAGAAGTAAAGGGATCAAGGGCTCCGGGAAACTGCGAGCAAGACGTAAGGACAGCAGCGACAGTAATGGTGGTACACCCTCCAGTAATAATGCTTCGAAGCTCACGGATGAGGGGGGGGAAACCACGGAACCTCTTCGCACAGCAGGAGGCGGTGAACACCAAGCTAACGACGAAAAACACGACGTCGAGTCCGCGACGAAGCAAGAATCGCTGACGAAGACCAACCACAAAAGCCAGCAACAGTTGAGCACAACCCGCCATGCGGCAGCCGGGTTTGAGCAGGGCTCTCCTGCGGGAGATGTTCCCGCGCGCGCGTTCACAACGATTGATCAGCAGCATCCGCGGCAGCTGCAGCTGAAGAGTCCAGAGGAAGAAGAGCGCCAGGGTAGAACAATGGGGGTGAAGGACGAAGGGGGTGGAGCTAGTAACAATGAGGATATTCCGGCCGTGGTCAACAGCAATGGTGATACGCTCGTCGACAACCCTACTTCTCACTTACCAACAGTCGCCGCCCCAAAGGAGTGTGATGGCACTGATGCTGGTAGCCTCAGCGATGAGACCACCACCGTACCTCCGGATGCTTCTCCTTGCAACGCTGCAGCAACAAGAACTACTTCGGCAGGCTTGGGGGTTGTAGTTCCGGCCCTTCGATTAGGCAACGAGCATAGCGAGGGGGGGGCTCATGAGCAGGGAACGCATGGTCGTGCAGGTACGGCTAAAGTCGTGGCGGACGACACACCTTATAGCTTAACGTGGGCCAACGGCAGAATCGGCCGACACCTGATGGAGAGCGTGGAAGGCCTACTGCAAGAGTGGCTATGCGCACAAGAGGTGGAGGTGCGACTCGACGAAAACTGTGTTGCCTTGATTGGGACGGCGCGAGCACCACACGAATAAGGAAAACCTTCATAGCGTGTGAAATGATGAAGCCAGGCTCGAAATCTATGTCACTTTTGGGGCAGCTGAGGCCGCACATGATTTGTATTTGACAGAAAAGTTAATTTTCTTGGAGATGATGTTGCTCATTGGAGGGGTTACCACAACGATAGCTTCGCAACGGAGTAACGATTGCGGGCAATCCGCCGGTCCTTTGCGAACAGCTTCCATTGCGCTCGCAAGGGGCGGAACATTCGAAACCAATTTCAGGATCCGAGATACATCCCGGTGCCATACAGATAGTTGGCACCGTAAAGCTAGTATTAACACGCATCAAGCGTCGTAATCTTGCTGTGGTTCTATAAGAGGAAAAGGTCGGTGGCAGACCTTTTAAACAGCCGTTGCTGACCCCTGGCATACGGCAACCTCGTTTTTCAGCCGGGAATACACGTTTAGCTGAGCATCATACTTACATCTGGGGAAAGAGAACGTGCTTGTGGTGAACAGCGTCGCCCCCGCGCGACTTTCAACAATCAGGGAACATGTGTGCGGGACAAGATTTCAGCGATCGGGGCTGTGACATCGTCTAGCCTCGCTCCCCTAGGACAGCTTCAAGAGAAACTCGATATTCCCGATCATGTGGCGTGCGCCCTTGGCCTGAGGTTTCGGGGCGGGGAATGGGAGAGGCTTACCCGGACAATTACGGCGGCAAGGTGACTCTTTCCGTGAGGGCATGTCGAGCCCAGACGGCAAGAAAACGCTTCGATTGTCACCGCGGTGGAAAGCCTTCGATCAATGCGCTACCTCCGAATAGATCCTTTGGTGTTTTAGAATGGGTGGTTGCGAGTTCTGCAAGTAAGGTTTTTCACCACCAATCAGAGGATGAAGCTGATCACAACGACGAAGGGTGTTTGGCCCCTTGTCTCTCTGCCTTGCGTCGTCTGTTTGTGTTTGCCACATGCTCTTAAGATGGCCCCGCAATCATAATCGACAGTTGGATTTCATCAAGAGGGAAACATCCACAAGAACAATTGGAACAAACAGAGCGTGTAATTCGGCGAACCTTGCGATGTGCTGGAATGCAGGGACTTCTTGGATCTAGAGGCCGAGGCTGCATGCCGAAACGCTCTCGCGACGTTCGGAAGCCAGACATCGGCACCCAGGCTGACAGACCAAATCCCTATCAGCGCTCTGGTAGCGATCGCGCGAACAGAAGCCGCTGGCCTGGATCTAGTGGCACTCGAAGTCAGGCAGGCGGTACGTGCTCAGGGGGAGATCGCTACCTCTCCCAAGCTCCCTCTGGGAGCTGAAAGAAAAATGTTTGCCTTTCCGGTTGAGGATGAGTACCGCATGCGCTTGTATGTATTCACATTATGTTGCGCCACGTGCTCCGTCCGTGAACCTTAAACACGCAGCTTCCGCCCCCCCTCTCTTCCTGTCGAAACACGGCAACAATAGCTCCGCGCCGAAGCAAGCCGCGTCGCCCCTCCATCCTGCCCATCGGCAGCTTCCGCGCTCTTCCAAGAGCTGGACCCCGACGCCAGGGGCTTCGTTGCGACGACGGACCTCGCCCGTGTTGCTTGTCGTCTCCTGGGACTGTCCCCTGAACGCACGGCCGAGCAATCACCCCGGGCAACGAGCATGCCATCGCGGACAACCAGCGCTTGCACGACTGCGAGAAGCGGTCGGCAGTCCGCTTTGTCGATCGGAGCGACGGCACCGCAATCTACGGCGTCAGGAGATGTCGCTGCGTTGTTGAGCGGGAGCTCCATTGGCTCCGGTCGCAGTCGCATCCGACAGGTTTCCAGCGTGATCTATCGTTTCGCGAGGGCGGCAGCAGTCGTTGCTTCGTCTCCAGCGCAGGAGCGCGAGAAAAAGGACATCCGCGGTAGTGGAGGGCATGAACAACTTATGAGGGTATGCCAAGGTCATTCTGGTCCACTTTGGGCTGACAGAGTGTCGGAACAGACCGCAGCAGTGCTTGCGCCACCGGCCATAAACTCTTCCTATTGCGGTGGGGCGCCGACAACTCGAAGACTCGATGGCATGAGGGAGGACATCGGCGAAACCCTCATCACCCTCTCGATGTTCTGCCGTTTCGTCGAAGGGAAGAAGTTCGACGGCCAAGAGTCCCTCGAAGGCTTCCTCCGGACTCTGTCAAGAGCAGGTCGGTCAGAGGTGCCGGTTGCAGCTGGAGGAGGAGCTGCGGCCCACAACGAACGCCCAGCATACGCACATGACCGAGCCTACTCTTCCGATTTGATGGAGAGACGCCAAAGAATGTCCGTGGAAGGCGGGGCGTGGGAGACGGTGGGTTCGGCGCGGTGGGGGGCGCGAGGGCTGCGGCGAGCATCAACTCAGTTTACGCACAACACGTCACCGCCGAACCACTCAGACTTGGTCCCATCCACGACGAAGACAAGTGTTGGCAGGAGGGCAACGGTGCTTCCCCAGGCGCATGGCGGGGTAGCAGTCAAAAAACGTTTTTCGGGAGTCACAGGTACAGTCGAAACGCACCGGAGTGCCGACGTTGGGACTAGCGCCAGAAGCACCGGGGGGGGACTTCACTTGTCGACGTCAAGGTCGAGAAATTCAACACTCAAGTGGGAAGTCGCCAGCAGCGGTGGGGAGCTCAAGACGCCTACGAGAGATCGTTCCGGCCCGCGCGGCGGCGGTTTCGTCGTGCGAGCCCTCTCGTCCGTTGACGGCAACGGGTCAGGGACGCTGTCGCCGGCAGAATTCGTGTCTGCGGCGAGTAAGGTCGCCGGTCTCGACATGCAGATAGAGCAGGAGTGGGGAGATGTTTTGGCGACGAAGTTCGCGGCTACCACGCATAGAGGGGAGGCCGGAGGGGGCGTGAGATGGCTCGGGGGAAGCGGGGAGGGCACGGATACCCATGCGCTGGACATTGCGGCGTTGGACGATTTTCTGCGGCCGAAACACTTCTCCCTCAGTGTGATGACACCCTTCGGTGAGAGCAGTCGCGTTCATGGGTGAACGGGTGATTTTTCATGAATGGACGAACATTGTCGGCTTGCAGCGTTTGGTTTTTCCCTGAGAACGGTAGACAAGCGGACGGCCACACAAAAACGCATATCGCTGGCTGGGGTGTGTGGAGAATCATCACGCCAGACGTGTAGCGTAGAATGCGCGAAATCCCCTCAACATGACTCGAAAACGGTGTGAAAAATACCGTGCTCGTTTTCAGGTCTAGTGGAGCTCTCGCTGGAAGACCAATTCCTCACTTTGGGCGATCTGCGCGAGGTGATTATCAACAAAATGTTCTGGCGTCAGCACAACTGTCAGGTGAATGCACCCGTACCACGTCGCAGTGGGTTGGACGTCGACTCGCCGATACTCGTACCATCGCAGTCTACAGTGCTGTTAGACTGGGCGTTTCATGGTGAAAACAGCCAATACACACCAAAAGGAACACGGTATACTCGAGATTCTGTCCTCCACCGCTGCTGTGTCTTTCACAATGTACCCCGTCTCCCGTTCTAACCGTTTACAAATCGTGCCGGCTTCAACGTGTTGTAAAAAGGTTCGGCGGTCGGACAGGGACAACTTCACGCTCTCGCGCTACTACGGCACCTTGCCGCTTGACACCGAATCGGCGGGACAAAGGCGGAGGCTGGTGCTGGACGTGTTGAGGTGTGTTTACGCCTACATACAATCGATGTTTCTCCCCGTTAAACGTTCGAGACTCGTTGCTGCAGCTGTTGCAGTCCAATGTACGATACAAGCAAAGACATTCGGTTATAAACCTCTGTCTCTGAACCCTCTCATGCGGACTGCCTTACCTCTTGAAAAGTGCTAGAGAGACTGTGTCCCGTTTCGATCGAACGTAACCCTCGGGTCCATCGTTTCGTCCCCACGCCAGACCAGGAGAGCTACTATTTGTCACGGATCGGGTGGCCCATCACACTAGACAGGAAACGCAACGGAGCATCCCTCGGTTTCAGTACATGATGGGGATGCAAAGGCAGCAGCCGGGGAAGGCTGCCACCCCTGCAATCGTCAAGCACGCAAGGTCAGGTCCTTGAGGCCACGTGGTTCCTGGATATAGTAGTATATGTAGACATGTAGAGAGAAGAAAATCGGGGAGGGGTCTAGGTGGGAACAGTTGTCGAACTCGAAATGCAATGTTTCGTTACCTCTGCAGACGGTGGCAGGTAGAGCAGGGGTAAAGTTTGACGACACGTTTAGTCTAGGCCCCACTACAAGTGGTGGGTTGAAGGTGTCGGTGGCACAATACTGCTGCCGTGGCCTCCACTATACTGTGTTGACAGATAAACGAAGTGAGCCAACCGTGCGTGTTCCTGCTTCCCCGCTTATCCTTTGCTCAGGTGCAAAGGCATGAGCATCGCGACCAAGCCCCCACCCTGCGGAGCAGTACCAAAAAGGAGGTGGTCTTCGGCCAAAACCGCTACCACTGGTTCGACTGGTGCAGGCGAACTCCCAAGACGGTCTTCATGTATCCCTTCCTCCCCCCCAGCGCGACGACAGTTCGTCGATGACGGTACGGCGGCTGCAGAAGGCTCAATTCCCGAACGACCAACCACGAGCGTTGTTAGGGCCTCAGCTGAGATACTATCGCAAACGGCGACAAGGATAGTTTCGGAACCTCCTTCTCGCGATCGATCTTACGCAAGACGGCGAGCCGGTGACACAGGGAGCACGTCATCAAACGGTGGTGGTAGCAGGGTGGCGAGGGGCGACTTGGCGGGAAAGTCGTCGGATGGTGGGGCAGAAGAAAAGCGAGGGCGAAAAACAGCGTCGTTCCACGACCCATCTCCGGCGCGTGGGCCACCGTCAACGAAAGGTGGCCGGCGAACTCGAAAGGCCCTATCTATGTGTAGTAGTTAGAACGCGAAACGCACACACGTTCAGTTTTGGTGTTTTCCCAAGAGAACGAAAAACTTGTCAACCCAGGTGCGAAAATGCTGAGAGCCATCACAAAACCGTTAGACTGATCACTGCCGCTTCCGACGTCAGTTCGCTTCACTCGCCGCAGTCCACTCAGTCTCATCGGCGAAGTTGAATCGTATTATACCATCCCGCGAAAAACACGCGTTCCACCGGGCCGCAGGAACGCAAAAAACAGCCGTTGAAGCGTCCTTTGTCTTCGACTGGAGTGCGGGCCAAGTGGAGCGATGGGTTGGCGAGACGATGGAGTTGGGGTGCTATCGAGAAGCTTTCCAAGCCAAAAAGGCGGGTTGGGAGGGTTTTCTTGCTTACGGGCGGGGCGAACACTTACGACGTACACGGTGATGAATTCCAATTATTGCTCGAGATTACCACCCCCGTACACCTCGTACGTCACTGCAATTGCTTTGAGCACCTCGAGACATCCAACTTCGCAGAGTACCCTCCAAGTGAGCTTGATAAAGACGATAAGCTGGTGTCGCCCACACGGTAACAAGACAGGGCAGTTTCCCCCCCATGATTCAGGTTGGCAGGTGATCAAGGACCCGCCCACCGTGCAACTTGAATTTCCCCTGCTTTTTCCCTGAACGTGTTCCGGCGTTCCAAAATCGATGCAATTGGGCAGATCAATGGGCTAAGCCTCTCCAAGCTGTGTCAGAACGAGTTCATGGAAGAGCTCGGCGTGACAAACCCGTTCCACGCACGGAAGATTGCATTGCACCTCGACCGGCTCGTTGAGGAATCTCTTGGACTCCGCATGGAGCATCAGATTCCTAGAACGTACGTTGGGTTGGGTTGAAGCATATAATATACGGGGCACAATAAAAAAAGAATCCACCCCAGCTACAAAAACCCGTAACGGCCTTCTTTGCATGAGAATAAGCCAACACACTCTGCAGTTGTCTAGACGTGAGACTTCAAACTCGCGAGACCTAGCCCTAGAAGTAGCCTCGGACGGATCGTGGAGGCCAGCGCTACCTGCGCCGTCAATCGCCGTGTTTCGGGGGTTCTCCAACCCCCCCGCCGCCGTGAGGTCGACACGCGACCGATACTGTTTCGTTGGAGAAGCGCGTTGAAGGTACTCCCCTGACGCTACAGTACCTCTAGTCCACGCGCCGAGTAAACGGACACATACGTTACGACAATCCCAAACTACGCAGGGTCCCGACCTGGAGAAACCGTGACTTTCTTTTGTGGTGCTGGCAAAACGTGGGGATTCGACACCGGCCAACCCTCGCACACTTGCGTCAGGTGAGGAAGAGTCCGACACAAGTGCGGTGATCTGTGCCTTGCTGCAAGTACGCCCACTCTCTGATAAGTATCATAGGATGGTCACCGCTGATGAGCGTTCAAGCTGCCACTTGATCAGATTTATCTCAAACAATGTGCGTGCTTGCTGGTACCTTGTTTGATGCGCTGCTACTGCTGCTGCGAAGGCGGGGATCGACGGCCTCGTGCTCCTCGCGATGGCGTCAGACAACTGGGCGCATTTGTCGGCCACTATCCCCCACCCCTCCTGCAAAGCTCCATTGGAGGCAGTGACGGAGGCTAGCCTGGCGCTTTCATCCCGGCAAGTTCCATTTAGTTCTGCTGCCTAGCGACGTCGCCAGACCCGAACGCGACGATGCTGAGGGGACAACACTCGAGGGTGTCGGCGCCCACAAGGTGCCCATTGCAGACACCAAAAATCCAGAAAACCCACCGCCTGAGGACGATGAGCCAGGGTCAGAGACACAACGCACTGCCACTGCTGCCTGGGATGGTAAAGTGGACGTCCTGCGCACGGAATACCCGTTGGCATCGATCGAAGTACCCGTCTCCATTTGGTGAAACAAACAGTCCACGCAGAGATGTCGCGGCGTGGTGGCTTTCCGGAGATGGACCGGGAGGTAACTGGTGCAAGTTTGTTTTTCATCTTGTGCCAGGGACCTAGGCAAAATCGACTTTGCCGTGTAATACCGGAGTGTTGTCCACGGGATAGGCAGCCTGCCTCATTCAGTCAGTACGTAGATTGGCAAAAACAAAACAACATGCGGTTTCCACCGGCTACCACCGGGGACCTGGGCAAACAAGTGTGTCACTAGGTCTTCGTCGAACTGTCGATTGAACTCCTGTACCCGCCAGTTCGTCTCAACCACGATCCACATGCTTGGACAATATGTGATCCCGGGTCGAAGCTACACTATGCGGCTAGAGAGACAAGGTCGCAGGGTTGACACATTTGGAGCGACGGGACAATGGCAAGACAGAGAGCCGCCACCCACTTGTATAGACTGGTTATTTCCATTGGCCAGCCGGTTAGTGCAGCGACCCTTCTCGAGAAAGAAACTCACGAAATTACACACACGTTTTTTCAGGTTCACGTGGTTGATGCCAACTTTGTAAAGGAAGACACATCGAATGTCGAACTCTTTCCTCGGGGCATCGCCACTTTCTTAAACAAATCCCAACCCTCATCAGAAGTCATTTCATTCCCGTCCCCTGACGGAATTCCGCCCACAACACAACCGCTTACGATCAAAATATTTACAAGCGTCACGTCTCTATGCTGCGCTACCCTCGACGCTCTACTGCTACCAAGCTATCTACATCTTCGCAATAATCCACACACACATACAACACGTCTACTTGGATGGCGTTGCCCGTTTGGGAATATCAGTATTTCGCCGTCGACGCGCCGAGGAGGACACGTCGACAGGTCGCTGCCACGGCTGATTCCACCTGTTCCTGGCATTATCCCGATGTTTCAGAGTGCTCATGCGCCTGGCTGTGGCGGCAAACATAACCGCCGGCGCGAGCCCCATGCCGAGCAGGGCCCACGACGGGCCGTGGAAGTAACCCCAGGCGATGCTCGCCGCAATCTGGCAACAAACCGAAATCGATGCAGCGGTCCGGGTGTGACCCAGGATGTGACATGGGTACAGCAGTGTGATCGAGTTGCGGCGAGGACTGGTTGAACCGGGTGATATTTTTCTGCAAGCACGGATTTCATTGCGAAAGCGGGGCTGGCTAAACCAAGCCGTTCGTTTCTAGAAGCAAGGTATATCAGTAGTCAGACCGGAATCGTACGATCTGTGCCCTATCCGTACATTGCCCCTGTGCCCCGTTTCATTGCCCGCAACCTAGGAAAGGGCTCACACCCGAGGCAAGGTCATCAGCAGTTGGCTTGGGCGTGACTCTGTTGCTCTGTTCTCGAAGTAGCGCTTTCTACAACACCTCTCCGTTTTTTCATTGCCGCCGCTTACCTGTACGGCGAGCACCTGGGAGAAACTGCGCTGGTAGGCAAGTTTTGAGATCTTGTGTCGGAACACGCGCTGGCCCAGGAAGGACCCAGGCGAACCTCCTACCAGCTCGACCTGATGTAAAAGGGCCTCTGCAACCGGAGGGGGGGGGGGGGGGGCTCAGGGTAAGTGTGTAATGGAAGCGCTCTGCGTGCCCACTCGATTTCGCAAAACCTGGACGTTCATGTGACACAATTCGCTTGGTTCGATCACAATGTCGCCCTTCCGTTGATCGCAACGGGAAGATGTGAATAACGGAAATACTCAGGAATCATTTATTGGGGGGCCTATGTTGCAGAGAATATTTTGAATTCCCTATCGGAAACCTCCTCGCTGTGTGTTCCCTCTTTGTCCTTCAGCTTTCGATTTGCTAGGTCGATCAACTTCGTCAAGCCTTTGAGAGATGGTGGAAAGTGCCGTCAAACCCGCCCGCACAACAGCAGTAGTAGACAGCAGCGTTGTGTAGTGCGGTGCGCGTGCGATGTGGGGAGATGATACCGACCCACTCCCGCAAAACATGTCATCTCTCCCGCCCCCGACCGACCAAAACACGCACACAAGACACGCACACAATATAAGTATATATGGGGGGTGTTTGATTTAATTACTAATTGTTTTTAGGTTTGGGGAGCATGTAGCGATTATTAGATATATATGGGGGTGTTTGATTTAATTAATTGTTTTTGGGTTTGGGGAGTACATACCTTCCAATCTCTTCTGCGACCAGCACGTGGACTCCTGTAAATCAAATTGGGGGGATTTTGCCCCACTGCTAAATAGACCGGCCAATATGAAATCGTCAGTCGGTGAATGTGGTCGATGCTATTACACGAAGTACGCTGTAAACACTAGACACACATGCGCGTGACATACTGTCCACTTTTATCACGTCTCTTCGTTGTTCATCCGGCTACCCATTGATCACGTCTCTTCGTTGACCGCGTTCGACGCTATGAAAGACAACGCCTCCTCCTTTGCCCATGGGGATGGTAAGTATCCTCCCCAGACGTCCAGAACCAAACAGGTAGCAAGGTGTCTCCTCCACCGAGGTACTACAAGTCTAGATACAACTAGGTTGGCGTGTACCGTTATGTCGTTGTTGCTCCACCTTACACTAATAGCGGAACAGCATCTCGGGTTGAGTTGGAAGACATGACAGCGTAAATACCACGGCAGCATACTGCTACAACTCGATCAGCTCACGAAGTCTAGTATCATATAAAATACCCCAGGGTGCACCTGGAATTCGACCCAGAAACGGTATCCAGCCCTTGGACGAGGCCTTGTCTTCGGCGAGCATGGCGAAAGAGAGGGCATTGGCGCCGACGAAGTAGGCAGCGAGAATCATCTCTGATCAAGCGTACGATGTACGATGCCACACGGCCCTACTTCGGAGATGCGCCGCACCTCGCTCGCCTCTCTCTCCCCGCCTCTCTTTCTCTCTTGATCTTGTTGTTTTCCTCTCTCGTTGGCGCGAAAGACACGAAAGATGGCACTGCACACCACTACTCGTCGCCCATGGAGTTAGGGATAGACAACAACGGGGCTGCTGTCTGTGACAGATCAGAGATTGAGGGCGGGCGGAGCGGAGGAGCGGAGAGCGGCTGGCGGCATTGAGAGCGGAGATTGGGGGCCACGCAGCTAGCATTAGCCGATTACGTACGTAGGTTCAACTTGTTGCGGCTTGATCGTTGATGTGCGCAAACCGGCCCCCCGGGGTCGTGCTCATCATCAGCCAGCAGCCCTGCAAAGCAAAACCAACTGCAGCGAGAGTGGGGACCAGGTGGGGTAAACTGCTGTCTAGATGAAGGCATTTGTTAGAGATCTTTCGAGCGGTTTGCGGTGGAGAACTACCGTAGTCTAGAGACTTTGTCGTTGCACAACAAAGGTATTGACTGTTGTTGTTGACCCTCTCGCGTCGCGATGAAGAAGGAATAGGAGCAGTAGCAGGTACGGACCAAATGTACAGCACCACCCGGAAGACCACTGAACGTCATGCTCCAGACCCTCCTCTGTAGTCGTGGAGGCGATGTCGGCGTGGGCGCAATCAGCAAGCACGCTTGCGACCCAACGATCCCGTGTGAAAAAACGACAAAGGACGTTCTTCGTCCGATTCTCTCCTTTGACGTGTTCCGACATGCCACTCGTTGACCCCGCTCGGTTCCGCGATTCCTTCTGTCCGGCCCTGCTGCCAGCTCAACGCTCCTCTTTTTTGCAACAGAGCGGCCGTTGAGCTCAGCAGCGCGCCACGCCCGCAGCAGCAGAGCCAAAAAAAGAGAAGTAGGAGGGAGAGCAGAGCGAGAGAGAGAGAGGAAGGAGAGAAGGAGTGCACGTCCAACCATGGGGAAGAAAGACAGAGCGAAGAAGGCCGCCCTCGAAGTCAACCCTCTCGTATTGGAATTCATCGATGCGGCGACCATTGGCGACACCAAGACTGTCAAGAAGATCGCCAAGGCTGGCAAGATCGAAGTTGATGATGGTGAGAGACGTCGGAGTGTAGACGTGTGTGCGTGCGTGCGTGTGCAGCAGCAGCAGACATGCTGTCTACTGTTTTTTTTTGGGCGGGAGACGGAAGGTCTCCTGTCAGCGAACAGTGGGAGAAGGCGCGCGAACAAATGATGAAATCTGCATCTCGGGGAGCTGCTTTCCTGTACTTCAGTCAGAAGGCACGTGCATCCCACGCGAATACACCTAATGTCGGTAATAAATGCGGAAGGAGGCAAGAAGTGATGAAGGTGGCGCACCGTTCGTGTTTTTATCTCGGTCTCGGAGAGGGTAATTTGCTCTATATGTTGCTCGGAGTAGATGTGCATATATTTGCACCAGCAGTTGAAGGCTTGAAAGACTTTCCGCAACGCCGCGAGCTGTCACGGCAGCTCTGTGGTGTAGACCCTCGTCCTGTCATCACACATCCTAAACAACAGGTGTGCGCGCCGTTTTGTTATTGTTGCCAGAAACGCACGTGGCCGAGTCCTCTAGTCTCCCTCGTAGCTACCAAGTACGTTCGTAAATACTGCTGTGTTTGACGTGTTGGGACCTGCTGTCAGTGTGATTGATGGGCGTTGGTCAACGGTCGGTGTTCCTTTTTTTTTTTCTCAGATGGCGTTCCATGATGAACTCCCGGCATCAGCGTACACTACGGTTGTGATCATGCATCAAAACGAAGAGTCAGTCACCTACCTCGTCCTGCTGCCACTGCTTGTATGCATAGAGCACGTTGAATCGACCAGAAATATATTTATTTATCGCCCAGACCCCAAACTCCATGGAAGGAGCATCACATAATTGGAAACAGGTTTTGTCTGACACCTACGAAAGTAACGAAAACGCTGCGAATACAACGCTCATGGCAGAAGTTCCTCATTCGTCTTCGTCACCCCAACTATGTACAGTGCACAGGCATCATTCCCACAGAAGAATCCCTCGGTGCCTCTTTTCTCAGGATCAAGCCCGCTGTTCCCCTTGTGCTTGTTCAACCGGGTTAAAAGTGGTACCGGCTCCTCTCTGAAAAACATACCCTTCGTGTTTTTTAGAAAGTATACCAAACCTCACAGAAAGACCACCCGTTCGAGATAATACCATACCATAGTCGAAGGGGATGTTGAAGTCTTTTCAGCAGTGAGTGGTGGGATGAAGAAACCGACTGGATACTGGGCTTATTGAGGGTCTATTTAAGCCTATGATCACACTGACATTTTTATCAGTGATGCCAGCAGGTGCTAATCACAAAAAACACTATAACACTTGTATAGGCATAAATATCACCAGACATCTCCCCCGTAGGTTTATGCTATCTCCGTGCTTTGTTCGAACACCAGCAGATTGCCCCGTGTACAGGTAGGTACACCCAAAACTTTCACTCGTTTCTGTTCTTTCTCCCCCTGTCTGTGTATGTACTTATGAGAACCTTCACCTTGTTTTCGTCCCCTGTCCGGCGTACGTTCAGACGCGGACGGCGTTACGGCGCTAATGCGCGCCTGCGGCAACGGCCACCTCAAGACGGTGGAGGAGCTCCTTGTGCATGGGGCGGGTATGTGGTGTGCCGGGCCAACCAGTGACCCCAAGACGCCGTTCATGTGGGCCGCCCATCACGGCAGGCTTGACATCATCCGGTGCGTGCCTTGTTGCTTCTGCCGTCGGTGTTGCTGGTGCTTGCCTTTTTTCCTTTGGCTCGTACGTCAAGCGAAGATTGGGACCTGCTCTGCGATCTGCGACCGCGCGATTGATCGTCTGTACGCTGGCCGCGAGATCTCCGATGGACATCTCCGACACCGACAGCGCGCACATGTGCCGCTTGTGATGACCCAATGAACACGAGTTTGTAGCAGCGCTTTGCGATGGTTGGTGATCATGTATCTGATTGCCGTTGGCTCTAAGATATGTTTTTTGCCATCCACTCGTCCGTAGTCAGCGCTGATCCTATGTGGATATGTATTTACAGTCCCGCGGCCGGAGGGTGAGGCCACCAAAGCAGATAGATCCCGTCATGCCGATCGTTCATCAGATGTTTTTCTTTTGAGACTGGACAAGACCGACGTGTGTCAGGCGGTGAGTGGGTCTTGAGTCTCAGCGGTGTCTGTATTGAGGGGACCATGCGGTACGATCTTCAACCAATCACAAGGTTGTACCGCGTTTCTTTCAACTCTTTCAACTCCCTCAGCAGCAAGCTCTCTCTCTCTCTCTCTCTCTCTCTCTCTCTCTCTCTCTGTCTCAGGCTCTAGCCCCCTGTCATTGCCCGTCAAGCCTGCCGCATACGTGCCTAACGCGCGCTAAACCGTCATACCATACCCCCATACCTATACCTTGCTCCATCTTCTTCTTCCTCTTCTTCTTCTTTCGAAGGTACTTCATAGAGGAGGTCGGGCTGGACGACCTAGCGGTCAACAAGGGCGCGGGAAGGTCAGGACGGAAGACCGCCTTGGACTACGCCCTCGACGCCGGCTTCAACCTCGACGAGGAGGCCAAGGACAGGAAGGCGCTGGTGCTGGCCTATCTCCACGAGAACGGTGAGCGAAGAAAGAGCGGAGAGGAAAAGTGCATTGACCGTAGCTGCAAGACGCCCCCCCCCCTTGATGTAGTGATACGATGAGATGGCTCTGGGGGATGCTCATGTTTTGCAGCCTTGACTGCTGTGTTACACCATTGGCCACGGGGGGGGGGGGACGTAGTCGTGTCGAGGAGAGGAAAGGAGGGGGTATTTTCGAGGGTACCTCGTTGTACGTAGGACGCGTCCGTCGTGTGCGATGATGCGGGCTCCATTCTGCCCCGATCCTTCACTTCACAACTCTCCACGTGCCATTTTCGGTACGTAAAAAAGTGCGGAGTGGGCGGATATCGGTCCGATGTCAAGTTCGTGCTGGCAGACGGCGAAGGCACCATCCGACACCCGGACGTACAGAGTTGTGTCTCGAGACAGCGTTGCCGTGCGTATTATGCTAGACACCATAGCATTACAATTTGCGTACACCTGTTTCTGTTCCGAATATCGAAACATGGGTTCGGACCCCTCCAGCGTAATTTTTGTTGTCATGCTCCATGTTTGCTGCTGCTGCTGCTGCTGCTGCTGCTGCTGCTGCTGCTGCTGCTGCTGCTGCTACGCCGTGTGCACATACTACGCCGGTATTTGTACACACCTGCTGCTGTGGCAAGGCAGAAAATCGAAACTGGCATTGCTACGGACCCCTCTAGCGTATTTTTTACTGTCTTTGCTCGCACGTCTGCTGCTGCTGCTGCTGCTGCTGTGCAGGCGCCGAGCACGGGGAGGGGGTCACCGACCCGGAGACGGTCTTCGACGGGGCCGCCCGCGGGGACGTGAACTACGTGCACTACTGCCTCGAGGCCAACGGGTCCATCATCAAGTTGTCCCACGGCGCAGAGGGGAGCTCGCTGCTGCACGTCGCCTGCAACACGGGAAACACCGACCTCACGCAGGTAGACGCGTAGGAGAGGGGCATTGCGGACGAAAAATGGAGCTTACCCTCCTGAGGACGCTGGTAGTGATGGAAAAAAATTGGGAACCCAGGTCAATTGTGTTGGGGGCTGAACTATTGGCGGGGGAAGAGACGAAAGGTGTGACCAATAGTGGATTGCACGGGTTTGACACTGCTACAAATAATACTGCATTCTTTTTGGTGCTTTTTGAACGGATGTTTTCGCTGCAAATTTGCTTCGTCCAACGGAAAGTTATGTGCCGTGGGAACCCAAAAGCTTCGTACTCCTTGTCGCGGCTCCTGAAGCTCGATTTCTGCCCCGCGCCGCACCGGCTACAGTACGACGCGTACTCTCTGCCGACGAGGGCGTCGTTTCGTCCGTGTTGTCGCACCACGACCGCTAAGGGAGGGCTTTGGCCATGCTTTGCGTGATCCCGCATGTGGGGGGCGTTTTCGACGTACCACGCCCCTGTCCTGTTTTTTTTTTGCTCGAGGCATTGCCGTCAGCGCTTCGTTTCGTCCTTCCTGACGTGCTTTTGTTCGTTTTGCCGCCTTGCGAAACCAACGGACTCGGGGGGGCGGGGGGGGGGGGGGATGCAGAGCTTGATCTCGCACGGA